CCTGCCCCTTATTCTGAGACCATCTGTCATAGCCCTTGTTTAGTCTGTTCCCTCTCCTTCTCCTTCTCCTCCTCTCCCCCTCCCTCCCTCTCTCCCTTTCTTTTTGTCATTTTCTTTCTCTCCCATTAAGCAGGCGAGGGCTATACGTAGCCCAGCCGTAACTGGGCTAGACCAGTGGCCTGGTCTGGCCAGCTCGCTTACTCTCCTGCTGGGCAGCTGCTTCTCCAGGACCAGTGCCTGCACAACTTACCTGGTACCTGTCTTGCTGCTCTGAAGCCTCCTGCCTTCCCCACGTGGTTCCCTGTGCACTGGGACGTGCGGAAAATCACAGTCCCAGCAGGTGCTGGCCCCAGGGGTCCTGCTCTCTTTCCCCACGCCTGTGGAGTACGCACTCCAGGGCTGTGTCCCTGGAATGGGCGCCTGCATCTCACTGTTCTCTCCCTGCTTCCTACTAAGTCCCTCGGCAGTCGCTGATTTGGATGGGGAGAGAAGCAGCACTTGGGCCTGAGAGAGAGGAAGGACTGCTGCGCCCTGAGCCCCCAGTTTTCGTGAAGGTGAGACCACCTGCCTTCTGACGACTCCAAGGAACAAGGCAGGTGAGACAGTGCTGTGATTTCTCGCTGGAGCCTTGCACTCTCTCCTTTCTCCTTTCACCTCACAGCATGTGGAGATTATTCCCCAAATCTGGCATGAGTCCAGCAGTCTCTACAAGGATTTTACTGGAAAATCAGTAAAATTTTCCAGTAAATTTTACTGATGTTTTACGGCCATTTTGGTGACTGCTCATCAAATGCTATCAAAAGGCAGCGTTGTTGTTTGACCCTTTGTCCTCCTATCTGGTTTCCTCATACTCCAGCCCCAGAGAATGCTTGTAAGAAGGGACTAGTAACAAGCTTCATTATTTTCAATTTGTATATTTACATGTATCTTATCATCGTTCTGGTAACTAAGTGGAATTCGGATTGTGAAATGCAGAATGGTAGCAAGGCTGGAGGCAGACACCAGCTGTGGTAGATGAGGCCAAGTGAGCAGAGAGGATCTGAGTGTCAGAAAACGGAAAAAGGCCAGAGAGGGATGAGGTGCAGATGGGCCACCTGCGGCACCGGTGGGGCATGCAGAAGGGTCCTTTCACCTGAACAGAGAGGCTGCTTGTGACGGGGCTGTGACCAGTAGAGCCTTTCCCCCCAGGCACCGTTGTCACAGTCATGTGTCAGTTACCTTTTGAATATTTCATGTTGTGGATAGCTTTTATTTCACGGGACCGCTATGGGATGTTTTTTGTGACTTTATCACTTTTTGCCATTATAACAATGTGATACATTTCTTAGTTCTCCTTGCCTGGATATCCTCAGTTGGAGTCCTGGAAATGAGATCCAGTTAAAGGACATAAACACATTCAAGGCTCCAGAAAGTCACTTGGCCAAGTGCCTAAGCCACACGGTGGACTGCAGCCCCACAGCAGGGGCCCACATCCTCCCCAGTAGCAGCAGTTTGACATTTGGATTTTGGGTAACCTTGGAGTAGAACAGTTTTGCATTATTTTTATTTCTTCAGCTAGTGAAGTGGGGCATGCTATGCTTGCTGTATGTATTTTGCAGATTCCTTATTGGTATCTTTGGGGTGAGGTTCTAAAGGTGGAGAAGGCCCCTCCCACGTGTGTAGTTAGAAACCCTCTGCCCGGGCCTTCCCAGCACTCTGTGCATAGCTCCTCCTGCTCCAGGGAGTGCTTTCCAGATAGGGTTGGATTTCTTTTGTGCTCCTATATTAATTCATCTTCTCTTTTCGAGACTTTGGTTATTACTGTTCTAACGTAAGCTCTATGTACTGTGTGGTAGTCCCAGGCATCAGTTCTCTGTGATGAGTGGGGTGCAGGAAGGGGTGGTGCCAGGCTGGCAGTACCAGCGCCTGAAGTCAGGCTGCGCCCATGAGCTTGCACGTGGAGGTACACAGAACTGGCCAGGGGCTAGCTGTGTCTTTTTCTTTTACGCATATGAAAGAGTACTTCACATAAAATGCTTTTGAAAATTAATTAAAAATTTGTAGAGGTGTATCTTTTTTCTTTTAATATGAATAAGGCTTTAAATATAGTTTTCTTTCTTTTCCCAAAAGCTTCCATTGAGTTCTAGTCTTTGCCAATATACCTGCAAACAAACTCTATTTAGCAGAACTTTTCCCAAGAACCAAGTTCATCACTACCAGACCTCCTTTACCTCAGGGCCACAGAAAAAAAAGTACAATAGAAATTTCTGGAAAGTTGGAGCTTTTTGCATATTTTTTTTTTCAAGTGCAGCTTTAAATTTCAAGAATAAGAAAATACAGTAAAGCTCACTTGGCAGGAGTTTTGTGTTCTAGTTTAAGCAAATAGTTAAAGGCACTATTTGAAAAGTGTTAGCAAGAGAATAGAAAAATGTTTATGTGAATGAGAACTGCAAAACAAAATTTGACAAGTTTCTCATTTTGAATATACATAGACAAGTCATAACAGAAAATTAAGAATTTAGGTATAGTTGTGGGTTGTTCAATGAAAATTGTGCCTTTCCAGGTCAGGATGAGAATGGGAAGGTCATTGTGAATGGAGAGAATCACGTGTTTTCTGTGGCAGGGGAGTGGGGGCAGCAGAGGCAAATGGACAGTAACGTGGAGGTCGGGGCAGGCACTCACTTCCTTAGAAGCAAGAGGAAGGAAGGGTTGAAGCCATTTCACTGGAAGAGGAAATAGTTTCTGTTCTTTGAGGACTTTGTATAATTTGCTCTTCTACTTTTAGACTTAACCTGTGAAGACAGAAAGTGTCACTCACACTGCTAATGGAGAGCTTCCTAACTTGTTTGGTACAATTTTAGGACATAAAAGGAAAACATTGTTTCTCTCATCATCACTAGAAAAGAGAAATGACAGAAGTGACTCTCAGCTGCGTTCGTTTGGGAGGGAGCTAGGGCTAGAATAAGTGATTACATGCGACTTCCTTCAGCACTTTCTTGTCCTTGGGATGGGTGCTTTGGTTTTAGGAAAGTTGTACTTATAAAATAAGGGCTGGGGGGAGAGCTAAGACCAGCTCATTATTACTTCAGGTTTGCCTCCATTTTCATACTGTGGGGAATTGGTAAATATTTTCAAAAGATTAAGAGAAACATTGGTTCTAGATGATTTTTGTTATCAATTCTTCAACTTTTCCTATAAATACAGGTGAAAACATATTATGGTAGCAATTATGAGATAAATTGTAGTTTCGTGAAATTAGGTACTTGAACTGTATTTTCATCTTGCCATAAGTGTATTGGTTTTACGTCTTTTTGGAAAAAACATCTGGTTATTTGGCGAATTCTAAAATAATTTTAAGGCTTTAGGAAAATTCTGTATAATTGGGAAGTTATATTTGATATATTATGAAGTTATATTTGGTATATTATGTTGTGGTAGCTGTTCATTAATTTCACTTTAATTCTAAAACTGCCAGAGGGAATTAACAACTTTTGTTTGAATTCATCACGGAAGTGTTTATGCTGACTCGTGTTTGTCACCGAGTGCACTGTTAAAGAGAGTCACAACATTTTGTCAATGCCTCCCAAAACATAGACCAAAATTATTTAAAAAATAGTCCCAGAAGCGGTAAAGTTATGGTGCTTCTTGTAAACATACGAGAAAGGAATTCAGTTATCCTGCTATGAGAAAATGTTTAAACAAAGAGAATAAAAAGTGTTGTATAAAATAACAAATTTTATTTCTAGAAAATATTTTACAGTAACTGTACACATGCACACACCCACACAGAGCTTAACCACACGTTAATTTCCTTTTAATAAATCTACCACATACTATTATATTACAATTTATAATATAGTTTTTGAAGACACAGTGGGGAAAGCTTTGTCATTCATTTATAAACCGTCCATAAATTACAAAAGAAAGGCAGTCTGGAAAGTATGTATAAAGAGTAAAAACAATTTACAAGTGGACAAAATTACAAAATAGTAACCATCAAATACATCTGCCAGCAACTTTGTAAGTCTTTTGTTCAAATGCCAATGATGAAGATGGGTATGGAATCATTTGGAGCAGATTTAAATTTAATATGTTTTTGGTGTGGCATATGCATTATGTGAATTCCTTGTGTGCCATTCATTGGTGTGTATTTGGGTATGGCATTTTGACAACAAAAGTAACAGAAAATCATGCCACAAAATAGAACATTAAAAGCAATGGAGATTATCGGCTTTCTGGAAGGTTGGAGTACTGGTGCTTTACCAAACAAAGTTACTTTCTCGCCTTTTCTCTCTTTTGAATGATTGAGTAAACATTTTCTGTGTGTAGCCTGGCTTGCTTTGAAAGACTGAAACTAGTATCTTAAAATGCACAGCCTGTACAACTTGATTTCGAACCACTGTGTCAGTGAGGATGAAGATCACTGAATGCACGACACATACAAAGTATACACTGTATTTTTATTAGACAGTACAAATCATTGTGCATTTATAAGGCAGAACATCAAGGCGAATTAAACTAGGAATTTCAAGACCAGAGTCAAAGTGAAAGTTATGCATTATGAGGCAAGCATTTTGAGAAGGGAGAAAGGTTGAAAATCATTCCTTTAAGGGCGGATGACAAATGCACAAAGACTGGAATTACAGGTAGGGAGGGAGCTACAGGTGATAGCTATGCGCCCCCCTGTTTGTTAATAAGAAGACATCCCCTCCCACTTCCCAAATCAGAGCCTGGACAATGAGAGCAGACTGCCAGCGGTGACAGAGGGCAACTGCTCCTCTTTTGTTCTCGCGGTTGGTATAAAGTGGATGGTAGTGCAAAAGTGCATTTCTCTACTGGTGTCAGGGGAGAAGATTGGGTTTTTTTAGGAAGTACTTGAGTCATGAAAGCCCTAGTTTGGAATTAAAGAAAATTACATAGATTTGGAAGTTGTCCGGAAGCACATGAATCATTTCACTGCACCCAGCTTTTTCAGCAGTTTCTTGCCTTTGGAAAGCAGCCCCTTTTTCTTTTTCGAGGACATTTCCCTGCCTCTCCCAGGACTACCAGAACCCATAGATGACGTAGGTGACCCCGAATGGAGATGGACTGTGGGGGATGGAGCTCTCCTTGCTGTACCTGAACCCTCAGGAGGAACCTAGTAGGTACAGTGTTACAGTTTATTGAGTGTGTGAGCGCCAACAACAGAATTCACTTGGTAACATCGCACTGTCCCCGTTTCCCACCAGGAAAGGTCAAGGGGGTTCATTTGTTCTTTTGGTTAAACTGTGCCACAAGAAGCAAAGGTCCTCCCCCACAGCATGCAGAGAGAGGACCCAGACATGAAAGAGTGGGGTCCGTGTCTCTGTCTCAAGGGAGTGCGGGGTGGCCGTTGCTTTGGCAAAGCTAAGGCAGGTAAGAATTCACTTCATAAATGAAGACTAAGGGCAGGGGAAACATGATTTCAATTTAGGTTGATAGTAAAGTTGGCCGAGTACCCATCAGTAGTCTTAAAAGCAAAAGTTCTTAAGGGGAATTTTGTTGTATCTGAAACTATTTGGTTATATAAAATCCTGATATTGTTAAAGTGCATTCCTGGGTTGGTTAATATACTATAGAAATATTAGAGATGGCACACTGGTTGAAAGAAAAAAAAGAAAAAAACTAAAATGAACCTTAATTACAATCAAAGAAAGCTTAAAGGCCCTTAGTGGATGCTTTCATTATTTCCAAATAATTGAACATGAACTTTCCTCAGTAGATAGCATGGTAATATTTCAGTATACGTTAAGTGCTTAATAGTGCTTCAGAGGGGTAGACATTGCAGGACGACTTTGCCTCACTTCCTTCTACAGCTAAGTATGTGCCTGAGTTGACAGAGCACCATCATTCCTCTGGCCCCCACCTCTCCAGAGCAGCTTTTGCCATGTGAGCGTTCAGTATTCGGCAGGCAAATGCTATAAGCCAAGGGGCTTCAAGCTTGCTTGGATTTAAAATCAAGGTCGAATTCTAATGGAAAACACCTAGTAAAGCATCCCAAAGTACACCTGAAGATACCATCTATTCCGTCTAATGCATCATGTGAGCTGCATGTTTCATAAACTTAGTATTGCATTGGTATACCAACAGCAAATCCGTCCTTCACCAACGTCTCTCTCAGAATGTTTGTGCTTTGAGGAGGAGCATAGCTCTCTCATAAGGTAGAGGCATGGTTACTTAAGGAAAACACACTCTGGCAGTTGGAGCCAGCATTTGGAGGTTTAGAGCCAACACTTGGTCACCCGGGCTCACTACTTATCTGCTTGACCTTGGGTTAAGTTTTTAAAGGAGAACTTCCTATAGTAAACATGTTTGTTAGGTTGTGCTTTTTCCGACAGCGGCTAACAATGCAATATGCAGCTCTCTATGTAAACACACAGTTAGCTGGTTAAGAAATATGTTCCCAATGTTGGCCTTTCAAATATTCTTAATGCAAATAGTAGGAAATGCTTATTAAAGATGTTTTGCTTCACTATAAATTCAGTTGCTTTACAACTGAGACCAAGTAATATTCTAATTATTTAGGTCCAATAAGTTTTTGAGACATATTTCTTTTTATCTTATTTTTTTAACCCCACAAGGAAGCCTTAAGTCTACCACATTGGCCCGTTTAAGGTAGCTTAAGTTGGTATCTTTATCGGTATCTTCAGTTGCTCACTTACGTGAAGGCTACATTGCCTGATTAAGGTGTGAAATGAACACTCTTCTTCTGTTTCCAAGCAGATGAGCAAAGAAATAAAAATATATATATATATAAAAATATAATATATAAAAACTTGCAGTGATGAAATAAAATAAAAATGAGATACTAAACATGAATGTAATCTAATAGTTAAATACGCTTGAGAAGCCCTTGGATCCTGTGAAGAGGACTGAAATCCTAACGGAGGGCAGACTACCTTTAATGCCCACCAAATCTGAAGAGGAGCCATCCCCTTCTCACTCTTGATCAAACTGAAATGTGTTTCTATAATGTAGGATGGGACATTTCTTTGTGAGCAAAGGCAGATTGATTAGAATTGAAAGGGTCATTCTTTTGGTAAAATGAGTAAGATTTAGACTTAAGGATTTTTAGGCACAACCCCCATGGAAGGGCAGAGAGAAAAAAAAAATCAGGGTATATGCTTTTCGGCCCAACATATAAAAATATCAGTGCAAAGATTGTATTAAGACCACGTATGGCAGAGCAGGACAGAGATTAAGGAGGCTGAGTAGCTTTGCTTACCCTTTTTGCCTTTGAGCGCATTGGTGTGTCTTGAGAGTAGTGGGATGGAACATCAGAAAGATAGACTTCGACATCGTCAGGCACTTCTTCCAAGAAGTTTGAGGGCACAAGGCCTTTCTGCCCATTCAGCTCCCCCTAAAACACAGGGGTGGGGCAGAACTGTTTATTTTTCTAGAAACCCAGATCTTGCTTTAGCTAAAGGAATACAGCTCAGAGTACAGGTATATGTTGAGTTTATTCTGGTTCAAGAGTGGCAGGACTCGAAAGGACTCTATGGAGGTTTCCAGATTCTCCTCAGCAACATGCAGAGTGCTGGGCCCCTTTGCTGGGGTCTTGATTTTGCCTGTCCGGGGGGAGGTGAGGAATCTGCCTTTTGGACAAGGAGCCCCTGTGATTCTTAGGATCAGGCTACTGAAGGAAATACTTCGTCATTTAGTGGTTCTCGGGCTTGGCTGATCTGAGGCACTAAGGAGCTGCTAAGAACACCATTGCTTAGCACCCCAGCCCAGACCAGTGACCACTTCTCAGCACCCCAGGCCAGACCAGTGACCACCACCCAGCGCACCAGCCCAGGCCAGCAATGACCACCGCATCACCGCCCAGCAGGCCAGCC